TAAAAAATAACTTATTGAATTAAGTCTTTATTAAACATTTCTTATACCATATCTTAAAGCACTTTGGTTGAGCTAATTACTACAGGTAAGTGAGAACTCTGACACCAGTCTCCCGTTTTGAAAATGTCCTGAAGGATCATGTATTAGTCTCACATTTGTGTAATTGGATCACATGAATCAGACTACTGAGTCACCATGTTCATTTGTCTGTTGTCAAATAAAAGGAAACAATCACGCTATTGAGGATGTGACCTTTTTCTGGCATTGAATTATGAAAGGAATTTGTCATTCAGCTTCTTAGGATTTAAAAAAATGGAAAGAGGTTTGAACTACTATTCTGTAAATGACACAGACAGATTAAATGGTAGGTTTCTTTTTACATCAGTCCTTTTGCAAAAGACAAGGAATAAACTGACCTAGTTAAGCTTTTTGTATAGGAGCTATGTCAACCAGGATTTCACTAGAGAGGCAGGATGAGTAGGATAGTTTTATACATATACTTAAATATATGAGCACATGTCTATACACACAGACACAAATACATATATATGGTTGACACATATATACATATACACATGTATATGTGGCTATCGACATATACATGCACACACACATATATATGAAGATATATATTGCAAGGAATTGGCTTACTTAGTTGTGGAACTAGCCAGGCAGACTTTAAATGCACAGGGCAGGCCCTCAGAGAGGGCAGGCTGGAAATCCTGGGCACAGCCTGATACTGAGTCCACAGATAGAATCTCTGATTCCCCAGCAAAGCCTCAATTCTGCTCCTAAGGCTTTCAGCAGCTACTATCAGCCTTACTCAGCCTACCTAGGGTGCTCTCCCTTCTTTACTACTGTGCTACTGATTATAGATCTTACACCTACTTCTTACCTCTTACCTGGATCAGTGTTGGACTGATTACCTGGAGGCTATGGTCCAGCCAAGTTGATACCTAAATCCAACATCATAGGAGAGTGTACAGGTTCATGTATTTGATTGCTCTCTCATAAAGTCTAACAAGAGAAAATAGAGTTTAGAGAACTAAAGTTTGTGTTACTTTTATAATTTTAAAAGACATTTTTAATTCTCTAAAAAAAAAAAAAACTATGGAAGTGGATAACATTTGTTAGTTCTTTCTCAAGAGAAGATAATCCAGGAGAGGTGCATTGTAGAAATGGATGGTGGTTCCTCCCTTCAGTTCATGTCTGCTTCTAAGGCTTGGAGAGATAGGATGTATCTTAAAGGAGCCTCAGCAAATGTGAGGCCCTTGTTAAGAATAGCTAGTCCCTGAGTAAATTGCAGCCTTCCACATGGTTGGTCAAAGAAGGTATGTGCCCCAGGTATGAGGCGTGCAGGTCTGCAGTGAGACTGAAATTGTTGGATCTGGGTGTCTTCCCCTCAGCAAGCTCTTCCTCTGTAAATAGCTGTACCACAGATAGCATTTGCAAACTGACCCAAAACATCATCTCAAGGAGGGGGTTTCTTTGGGTACAAGAGATCAAACTCTGGACCTTTTGCTTACGAGGCAGGCACAGTGCCACTGAGCTAAATCCCTGCCCTTGAGTAGGAGTTTTATATCTGCCTAAACCAGGCATCACCAAACTCCTTGTGTTCACATGCCCTTAGCAGCTGGGTAAATTTTTCATAGCACCTCTAGGCCAAAAGAAATACCTAACAATTCTGGTTTTTAAAGATTTAGGTCCAAACAGCATAATAAGATAATTAATATCTTAACAATTTAATAGTCATCTGTATTCGTCATTTTCCCATTGCTGGAACAAAATATCTAACACTCACAACTTAAAAGAGAAGTTAATTTGGCTTACAGTCTCCAGTGGGTTCCATCCAAAATCACCTGGCTCCAAGGCAGAAACAACAAGGTGGAAGGCCCTGATGGAGAACAGCTGCTCATCCCATGGCAGCCAAGAAATAGAAAGAGAAGGGAGGAGCCAAGAACAAGTACATCCTTCTACCTCATGCCCCCAGTGACCCACCTCCAACTAGGTCCCACCTCCTAACAGCATATTTAGCTACTGAACTCATCAGTGGATGAATCTACTGAGAAGTATGGAGCCCCATGATCCAAACACTTTCCCAACACATGAGACTTTTGGACGGACATTTTAAATATAAACTATAGCATCATCTGAAAAACTAGTTCACATAAACTGGAAAAAAATTTTATTTTATTTTTAAATAATTATGGCCCTGATCCAAATAGATATGTATATTTGTTTTTTGGTGGTATGTTTTTCTTTGACGTTTTCTTTTAATCGTAATATCTAAAAATTCCAGCTTTGTAGTGATACAATATCGCTGAAAGGAGGAGCACACAGTTTCCATTAACACCGGGGACAATTAAGTTAGTGACTCACAGATGTTGAGTGTTACTGTGTTTTCCTCAAGTTTTTAAAATATTCTAGTGCACCCTTACGAGTTTGTTGTGGCACCTTAGGGTACCTTGGTGCACAGTTTGGGAACTGAATCCCTATGCATTTATACAGAGACCTCGAGTTCTAAATAATGTGATTTAAAACCCCAAAACACTTTCAAGATTGAATCAGACCTTTTAGATATTTCCTCATTTTACTTGAGACAGATTCATGTTATTTAACTGATAAGGAAACACTATATCTCAATTTAAATTAAATATTCTTAGGCATGTTCCTGCAGCCTTTACTTCCCCTGCCATACTGAATTAGAGACCTTTAATTTTTATATACTCTTCGTTTTCTATTATTTCTTTATGGTCCATTCTTTGCCATACTGGTGAGAAAGAATTTAATGTCCTTGTGTCAAGAAAGGCCTATTTATTCTGACAAACTGATCAACCTCCAGGGTGTTCCTGCACCATGAAACTGATTTTATATCTCATCCACTGGCTAATAAGATGTGAAGTGCTTTTCTTGTCACGCCAGAAGATCAGACTTGCTTCCCTTGAAAGCAGTGAGCAAGATCACATTGCATGATCTCGGTGACTGAACCCTACGGTCCATAGTGTTCCAACAGAGCGTGTCAGAAGAGAGTGATGGGATTGAAGCAAACCTAGAAATTAGCAGATACGCTTGAAAAAGAAAACCTCCATAGGAAATGCTAGGACCCACCTCACTGTTCACTATTTTCACTTTCAGTTCAGAGAAAATAAAATGTCAGGGACTAAAACCTGGGGATGCTGGTGATTTGTGTAAGGACATCCTGACACACATTCTCTTTCTTCACCCTGAACCTTTTGGTAAAATTGAAATCCCACAATGTTTCACTTCAGTTTCTCTGCTGTGAGAAGAATTTAACACAAGTTGAACATCCCTAGCCAAAAATCAAGAATGCTGCAAAATCTGAAACTTTTAAAGCACCAGCATGATACCACAACTAGAAAATCCCACACCTGACCTCATGTGACAAGTCACAGTCAAAATGCAGGGTGCACTGAAGATAACGTATAAAATTATCTTCAGGTTATTTGTGTAAAATGTGTATAAAACAAATGAATCATATTTAGACTTGGATCAAATTCCCAAGGTATTTCATTGTGTATGTGCAAAAATTTCAAAATCAAAAAAGAAAAATCTTTGTAATACTCCTCATCCCAAACATTTTAGAAAAGGGATATTCAACTTGTACCCTGAAAGTGGTTGTTTCAAGCTCAATTATGGCATATCTCTATAGATCACTGCATTATAAAATGCTTTAATTTTTTGTTTCTTATTTTCTGATAATAAAGCAATTTTCAGATTATTTTTAAAACCTAGAATTGGATGTAGGGAAGGACAGAATTCTGTTCAGATAGTGAAGATGACATAAAAGGAAAACACTTTGGGTGGGCTGTTCTTCATGAGCCCAGGAGGAGCAATGTCTTTTGGAATAAAATTGATGTTGTATATATCCTGTTTATATTGTTTTCCCTTTTCAGTACAAAGTAGTCTTATCTTAACCAAAACCAAGCTAAATACTTGGGTGATGCTGGAGAACCCTCAAGCCTCTGGAAATCTCGAGTGTTCCAGACATTCAGTGGCTTTCCCATGGTGTCTCAGAAGTCAGGTGTCCCTTGGCATCTTGGCTCCATGGCGTGTAAATGCTGCATGAAGCTAGTAGAAAAGCCTCCTGCAACCCATGTACTAGTTTCCAGCAGCTGCCATAACCAAGTACCACAGACTGGGAGGCTTGACAACAGAAACTTTGTTTTTCATAATCCACAAGGCCAGAAACCTGAGAACAGTGTGTCAGCAGGGTAATTTATTCTAAGGCCTCCCTCTTTGGCTTGTAGATGGCCACCTCCTCCTTGTGTCTTCCCAGATGCCCCTCACTCAGTGTGTTTGTCTGTGCCTTCATCTCCTAAGGACGTTTAGGAGTCATATGAAATGAGAGCCCCAGTCTCACCACTTTAAGGCCCTATCTCCAAATCCAGTTACATGCTGGAGTACTGGGGGCTGAGACTTCAACATGAAGTAGGGGTGAAAAACAATTCAGTCTTTAACAACCCATTTCTTCTTTCCATAAGAGGCTTTCAGTACAAATAATAGTCCACTGACACATTCATAGAAATCTTCAACATATACAAACAAATATTAAGAATGCACTCTGGGGGCTGGGGATTCAGCTCAGTGGTTCCACTGCCCGCCTCGCAAGCGAGAGGTCCCAAGTTCAATCCCTGGTACCAAAAAAAAAGAATCCACTCTGGAAGTAAGTTGTTTTCCTCACATCCTAACACCCTTAGCACCTTGCTGCAGGTGTTCCTTTGCACTACTGTATCTTCCATTGGACTGGAAACATTTGGAGGTAAGGAAATGTGACTCTCTGTAATCCCACTACAGTACTCAGAATACACCTTAATGGTGAACAATAACATCAAATTATAGCTTGATTTCTTTTTACAAAAAGGAATTTGACAGAGACACCATCACACAATTCAGAGAATTAATATAATGAGTTTGGAAAAAGGAAAATGTGTTGTAGCTGAATGTAACCGAATGTTCCTGATGTGTGTGTTCTTTTGCAGTTTGTCTTTTGCCGGGACTGCAAGGAAGTATACCACGAAGGAGAATGCAGCCCCCTATGTGAAGCCTCAGGAGCAGGTGCTCAGGTACAGAATGCCCTCCTCATCCTTTCAAGCAGGGTTCAGGACACTGCGGGGAAAAGAGCTGCTGCCTGGAGGTTCCATTCTGAAAACCCAAGCCACAGGGTGACAGGCCAAAGCCCTGGGAACAATAGGGCTCTGACTTCTATGACCACTATTTCCTCAGATCACAATGTAGACTCTATAGCCATTTGGGGTGTTTGTAATTCCATGATAGTTTTTCCCCAGGTGAGTGTGGAATGGGGATAAGGTTAATGTTATCAAAGGTGTCCTTAGAGGGGAGATAAAGCAACTTAACAATATCCAAATCAGAGAAATCAATACTCTCCCTACTTTTATTTTTTTAAGTGTCTTTGTATAGAATCTTTAATGAAAATTATCTCTATGAATGACTTACAGATGTTCCTCACTTTACCATAGGGTTGCATCCCAATAAACCCATCATAAATCGAAAATATTGTTAGGACAAAAATACATTGAATACCCCTAACCTACTTAACATCACAGCTCAGGGACACAGCACACTGTAGTCCTGGCTGTTACCCAGGTGATCATGGGGGTGACTGGGAGTTGTGGCTCCCTGACACTGTCCAGCTTCACCAGCAAGCTGATTGATAGTACATATCCATAACTAGGGGCAGGCCGGACATTCAAAATTCCAAGTACACTTCTACTGACTGAATGTTGCTTTTACAACACTGTAGAAAGTGGAAAAATCAAAAGCCAAACCATTGTGACTCAGGGACTATCTCTACAGAAGTATTATAATGTACAAGGAGATCATTTTTTAACAATAACATGAACTCTGCTAAATTGTATTTCCATCTTGATTAAGTAAAGATCGTGTTTCCTGAACCTTACTCTCTAATGTGCTACATCAAGCTTAGGGAAATGCAAATGTGTTTTCTTTTATTTATTCATTATGATCAACCAAACCTTAGGGGAAAGAAGTAAAAACTTCAGCACAGTTGATAAATTTGCTCATTATTTTTCTCTTGATGTAGATGTTAACAGGGTTTAAACACCAAATCTTTACAGATAAATCGTCTAGTCATTTCTTCTGTAGGAAGCTAGTAAGTAGACATAGAAACTCCGGAACATTTTAATTTTGTAGTAGAGAATGTTAAAGATCTGAATGATCTAAAATGAGAGCATAAAGAAGTATATTCCTGTATTCTGCAGATGTGTTTATCCAATATTAGCATAACTAAATAAATATAATTAGTGAATTCAGATCTTCTCATCAGATCCTAAACTGATGGCCATGAGCATATTAGGAAATTTAAGGATGAGTTGCCATTTTCATAGCAGAAGAAGCAAATTCTCCTTCTGCTGATCTATTTTAGCTCAGGAACATTCAAATCCAGGCTCACTTGGTACTGACAAGGAGGAATAATAATGGCCTGAGACTCCCTGACTCAGATTCACTATATCCCAGGAGAGTGGAGCCTAAGGGTCTGAGAAATGGGGTTAGTCTAGCAATTTACACTCATATGCTCTTAGGGCCACAGACAAGGACAAAGGCTTCTAAGAAGTGGTACCCTAATGTCTATTTGAAAACAGTACAGAAAGAGGAGAGAGAGAAGTGCTCACCCTTGAGGGGTCCAGGGCCCTGACTCCCAGAATCCCATTCATTCTTCATCCAAAAGAAACGACCGATCTTAGTATTAAAGAGGTTTTTTTCCTTTAAAAAATCATTAAAACCTCAATATTCAACTCAGAAAAATGGGAAAAAGAAAGTTAAAGTTGAACTTAGACATAGATGGTCAATATCAAGGGAACTGTGTCTACAGTGTCAATCATCACATTAAATCAAGTTTTTGTAAGGGCTACACAGCCTGCTAGTCTCTGGCAAAATACTCAAGCATATTTCCCTTCAGAATCTTGAGGGTGCTGGCAGGAAAATGAATGCTTACAGAAATACATGAAACCCAAGTTTAGCAAATATGTAGCTGTGTATTACATACACTTGGTAGAAGCCATGGCAGATATATTATCAATAGTAAACAAGATATGGATGATAGAGACAATTCCAGAAGGGAGCATTGCATGGACAAAGGTACAGACAAGAATCTCTTCTGTTCAATCCTGTATCCCTAGCCCAAGACAAAACCAGATACATAGATATTTAAATAGATGTTTATGGAATGATGGTAGCATCTATAGTGAAAAAGATATCATTTCATTTAACAAATATGTATTAATCACTTAGACATTGCTCTAGGCCCTCAAAGAGCAAGATAAAGACCTTACTTTTGTAGTGTTTCTATTATTTCATTAAATACTATAAGGATGCACAAACAGTTGACATTATAGCAATTCCACAGAGGTATCATTAACCCAGGCCATGGTTAGCCCACAAATAACACAGAATGAGGTTGCCCTCTCTAGAGATCTTGTTTAGATTAGGCTACTCTTGCTTCTAACTCCTGATCACAAGGCCAGCCTCCTATTCCTTTTACCTGAAAACAAAGTAGATCAACAAACCAACCAAAAAAAAAAAAGAAAAAAAAAAGTCTGCTCGTCAACTGTCACTGGAGAACAGCACTTGGGTCCTTTGCTGCTTCCTAAATCTCCATTCAGTCAGGCCCCGTGGGACAGTGGGTTCAAATTGGATGAGCTCATGAACAGCTATTAATGGAAAATATGACCTGCAGCATGGGGTAAGGTCACAGATGGAGCCAGTGTGGGCCTTGGAGTCCAGTATCAGTGGGAACCAGGATCATCCTCACCAGAAGGGACAGGAGGAGGAAAAGGCGCTTCATGAACTCTGTGAACTGGACTTTCTGAGGTGTAGGACCTTATAACAGGAGGAATAATCATGGAGGGTCCAGCATGGCCAGAAATGGGCCCAAAGCAGGACGGGAACACAGACAGACATCTCTTGTCTTCTCTCCCACACCTTCTGAGTTCTTCTTGCTAGTGCCTCCTACTGGCCATACCCAACTGAAAGCCAACCACAGAGACCCTAGAGACAAAGCCCCTTGGAGTCAGCCCTTCAGGTCAGGGCAGAGGACAGAAGAGAATATAAAATAACCTACAAGTTGTGTGGGCTAATTTCCCAGGGCTCCAAAGGTTTCCTTATTTCAACCATAGTTACTCTTGGCTGTGGAAAGAGGTGAAACAAACAAGCTGATTTATCAAACTGCAAGACCCAGTTCCATTTGGTAACAGAGAGAAGGATTTTATTTTAATAGAACTCCCTTATTTCTGTTCCCTGCTTTTCTGTCAGACAGCAATGGTCTCAGGGAAGACAACCCCTGTACTTCCACTGACCTCAAATCTTTGAAAAGACATCACTCCACACATCTAACAATCAAAACTAATTGGAGTCCCCCTTACAAAGAAAGGGTTTAGATGCATCTTTAAGTCTGAGTTTTGCTAATACTAACAAAATACTCTCATTATCCCTCTTCACATCTTATTTCCAATTCAATTCACTTGCAGCATTTTTCTTTTCAGCCACTTGTGACTCCTTTCCACTATTCTTCCCTTTAGCACTGATTGGTTTCTGTTCTTTGATATTACATTCTCCAGCCAGGCAAGCCCATTTCTTCTGGGGTCCAATCAACTTTTCCTATCGGTTAGGCAGCTTGACCCAAAACTTAATGCATTTTTTGATTAATGCAATAATTTTTTATTAAAAAAAGCAAACTCAAAAATTGATTTTAAATTGGTTTTAAAATATTGAACAAGCTTTAAGTTGAAAGTGCTGAGAGTTTGGGAAATCAGCAACAGAAGATCAATCCATCACGGGCTAATGAGAGTCTGGACCAATTTGCTTTCTCTCATTCTTGCCTGCTGTTCTTTCCCATGTTCTGGGTCCCTTCGTGTATTCCCCCTAAACAGTGCCTATTAACTCACCACATGCTCTTGCAAACCACATAGATTGATTTATTCTCCCAGTGGTCCTGAGTAGTTACTGTTAGTCTCCCTATTTAATGGAAGGGCAAACTGAGACCTCAATCTTTAATGACACTAAAGCCACAGAGGAAATCTATTTCAGTGGCTATGCCTGACCAAAGTAGTTTGGAAACAGTGACTGTTCTCTCATGTTAATAAATAGACAGTGTCTAAGAAGACTGTATCCATCCCTGCCTGCCAAGCTCCTACTCAACCATCAAGGCCCAGATCATAAATCTATTCCTCCATGAAATATCTGCCCACCCCATAACCTTCTCTATGCTTTAAGACAATTGCACATACCAATGTTGCATATTCAGCACACTGAAATATTATTTCCCTCTCTCTTTGCGAAAAGACTGAATTTGTTAGTGCAGGGTTTGTGACAGTAACATCAATATCCTCCAGCACCTGGCACATAGTTGCTACTCATTAAATATTTGTTGAATGAATGACAAGTCCCCACCTCTGAAAGGTTCCACCACTTCCCAGCAGCACCACCTGGGGACCAAGCCATTAACACCTGGGCCTTTGGAGGACATTCAAGATCCAAACTATAGCAGACCCCAGTGGTATCAGCTTTTCAGCTTGATTTTTTATTTTTCAGTGCCTCAAATCCATTTGTTTATAATATTTAATATAGACATGTATTTTTAAACATTGAGAATTAGTTTTTCTTTAAAAATTTAAAAACATCTGTCTTAATCCATTTTTTGCTGCTGTAAAAGAACACTGGAGACTGCATTGTTTAGAATGAAAAGAAATTTGTTGGCTCACAGCTCTGAAGTCTGGGAGTCCTAGATCAAGGGCCAGTACCTGGCCAGAGACTTGGGTTGCTTCATGGCAGAAGATGAAGGCCAAGAGAGAACCAAACTCACCCTTGTTGTCCCACCTGGGAGGTGGTACCCTTATGGTCTAATCATCTCTTAAGGATCCCACTTCCTAATATTGTTCCAATGGCAGTTAAATTCAACATGAATTTTGAATTGAGGTTTGAATCATTCAAATCCATAGCAATTCCATAGGTGGAATTTTGGTTATACTTTGTACATTTGTACCTTGTGTGCCTTTTAACCTATGTAATCAATGGAAATAAGGAAAAA